TTTGATTGGAGGACGTGATCTAGCTCCAGTGAGCAGGCTGTGTGCTGTGCTGAGGCAGTCCATGATCTTTGAGGTCCAAGAATGAATAATTTAAGGAGAGCGATAAAAAGGTGACCTTATGGCGGTAAAGGCGACGCAAGAAAAATTGGGTGCACCTAAATTTGTGCTGTGCAACCAATGCAACCAATGCAAGGAGTTAGTCTGGAGCCCTGTTATAATGTTGTTTATCTGATTATGAGTTTGTTTTGAAGGATGCAGACAATGTTGGGTCGGGCCGTTGGCACAGCTGCTGATTGCAGTTGTTGAGGTTATTTGTGTGTGACTTTTAAAGGAATTAAAGTTTTTATGTATGCGATTAACATTAATATAGAAGCAAACATCTATTTGCAATGTAAAGATATAATGGAGTAATGGCGTACTGAGTGACGTCAAGCTTCTCTGTGTATTGTTCCCTGGACTGCTCAGTTTATTTTTTACACAGCCGGGAAGCCCACGCATGAAACTGTTGGCTTTTGGCGTTCGTTTCCTCATCTACCTCAGTGAATTAAGGATTTATTTAAACCAAACCAGAGCTGGTGATTGTTGGGACATTGGAAAGTTTAAGTGAACTTATGATGTTAGGATGATGTGCGAGGTAAAATGACTGTTTTTGTCAGTGGAGTCTGGTGGTGAGTGAGATCAATTCACCAGTTTTTTAACCAGAAACAGCTGATATGGCTGGCTGTTCCTGGTTAAACAGAAAATATCTTACTTCTAACAATCTGAGCCTGTCAGTGGCAAAAACAAGCACTTTCATACATACTTTGACAGGCGCATTATTTGTCCTCAAGGAAAACATTGCTGCCACACAGCTAACTCTTGAATTAAGGGTTTATTTAGACCAAACAAGCATTGGTGATTGTTGGAACAAAGACAGTTTTAATGTGTCTTATTTAGTTTCTGTCCAGTTTGAAGGGTATTTTATGGTTATCTGCAAGGCCACTGGTTTTGTCAGTGGAGTCTGCTAGCGCCCATTCATTTTGGTCTGAGATGCTGGTGCTCTAGAGCGACATCTAGTAACAGTTGTATATAATATATGTGTGTGTGACAAGTGTTGTGTGGTGGCAAGATTGGGAAAACCTATTAAAGTGAGTGCATTGGGCCCATGAGGCCGAAGGATTGTTGTTGATCTGTATCAGTTGATGATCAAACAGCAGCAGGAGGCGTGGCAGGTGCTGCGATAACAAATTCTTATTGAGGATTGGGTTAATAACTAGAAACCGATAAATATCTGGTTGAACACAATCTGAAACACATTAACCTATATAACTACTGTAATGCAGGTCAAACTTTAGTTTCATGGTTGGATAGCTTTTAAATGTGTTAAATAGTACAATACCTTTCTATGTGGAATCAACAATGACAAGCCGTAAGAAAGAAGTGTTTACCAGTCTACTGTGTACCCTGCTGTTGGTACACATGGCATTTGTGTACGTGCTGCACAAGTTGTTGATTCAGATTGGCACAAGGGGGCATGTGGAGTTAGTGTGCTAATAGTCTCTGTGCGTTTCAAATTATGCAGGCCTGTTGAAGAGATTAATGTCAATCTATGACAATGGTGCATATTATTAGCATAGTCGATTGCTCTGATGGGGCGCAGTTGTAAGCAGAACTGCCTTTCTGTTGCAGATTTTGACTTTGATGAATATGACAAACCAGGCGCTGAGCGGTCACGCAGGAGGAGAGGTGAAGATGACGATCTAGAGAGGTAAATCATCTTATAATGTTCTTGTCTCTACAGGAAGAGTGCTGAAGTGTATGTAATTCACAACCTGCTCTGGTAGTCCAAACAACAACTGGTGGATTGGTGCATAATACTCATACCTCACTTGATATTGCTTGTTAGGACATGCAGTGAAAATAAGCCTTTTCATTGTTGGAGAATAACAGGATTATTACTTTAAAATCAATTTTAAATATTACCAATAATTGGCCCCAAAAAACTTAAATGTCTTGTTATTACAATATATTTCAGCTGTTTGATATACCTTAAATATCAGACTCTAGAAAGACACATTATAGTCTACCCTTTCCTGATATTAAGACGGGGACAGTGACAGTATCATAAGGAAGATAAAGAGCATTGAATCGTAAATAGACTTAACACTTGGCACTATTATCTGACTCAGCTAACCTATTATTGGTTGTCTTTTCTCCTTAAAAGTGATTTGGAAGAAGAATTGTTGGAGGAGGACTGGCTGTCAGTGAAAAAGGTAAGAGAAAAAGACAAAATCTCACTCAGTCTCACTGCTTTGTTAACCTTGATTTTATCCCAAACCAAAAAAAACCCCACTTAGTATGGATTCTCTATTTACAAACAGGAAACGGAAAAATACATCCAAAACATAGGGTGTTGGTAGAAGATTTAGAAATTAGAAGTGAGTTGTAGCAGGTGGCTCCTCCACAGGGGGAAGTGTTGATGTGAACCAGGAGGAAGTACAGTGGACAAAAAAGAACTGTGTTGACCTGCCCAGATTGCCTTCACCACATGGGAATAGAGCATCCTTTGGGGTTGGAGGTGGTCCCCTGCCCCCACACCTTACACACAGACAAACAACTGAGGAAGACTATTTTAAAACAGCACACCTTAATGCTCCTTTATTTTGTTTCAGAATCCCTCAGAAGTGTCAGATGAAGAACTGAATGATGACCTTCTACAAAGTGATGATGAAGAGCTAGTTTTGAGGTATGCCAAGTACTGACAAATTAACATATTTTACAACAATTTGAGTTTTCCGCAGAGTCCCGATGTTTTGTTTGTTTGTTTTCAGTGGTCAGGATGTGAGCCTCAATGCCACATACAGCATGGGCACATCCTATAACCAGCAGGACAACTTGCAGGAAGCAGACTACACAGATGACGTTGTGAACCTGGGCGCAGAGGGCTGTGAAGATGGGGATGTAGAGGTGGAGGGGTACCAGCAAGAGGGGGAAGAGGAGTACACAGAGGGATACAGCCAGGAGGATAACACAGAGATGCCTGAAGACCAAATGGATTACACAGGAGAGCAAGCTGAGGGTGACGATGGTTACCAGGATGAAGTGCTAGACATCCAAATCAATGAGCCCATAGATGGTGAATTTCAAGTGAGTTCTCATGTTTGCCTACTCACATGTAAAAGCCCGCAGAGGCACACACAAACACACACACACACTCACACGTCCTCCCACTCCCTTTTCTGTCTCACTCTATTGTATCCAAGAGATAATGTCAGTTTTCTTGTCTCTGTAAAAGGACAGTCAAGATTGAAAATCTATTCAGGAGAAGGAGATGTTGGTTGGCGTTTTTGGGCAGGGGAGGATTAGATTCATTATCACTTCCTGCCAGTTAATTTCTCCATCTTGCTGACAAAGTTTGTGTTGACAGCTTGTTTGGCATGAGGTAATGCTCTGCTGTCGCCTCCAAATCCCCGTGCCATTGTGACCTTGGGGCCTGTATCTTTGGGGGAGTAAGAAGCTGCTTTGTGTCGGGGAGATGTGCTGCCAATCGGCGGAGGTTAATGTGGGGGGCTTTTATCTCGGGCTTTAGACTGGATCTGATAAAGTCTCATGCAGGTGAAAAGATTATTGACCTTCCTGAGGACACCCCATACAGTTTTCTAATGATTGATGCGAGTGTCCCTTTTATTCGTTTCCCTTCCCTCTTAGCCGGGACTAAGAGGATCAAAGATAAGACCAGACCCATGTGCAAATGTCCGTTATGGTCCATTTACCAAGGTGTGATGGTGTTTGGCACCTGACAGAGATATATTAGCCAACCTCCTTTTTTTTTTTTTTCAAACAAAGATAAGATGTTGACCTTCTAACCGAGTCTGTGCGGCACAAGTGGATGCCGAATTTGGTTTTTGGGGAAATGTCTGCAGGTGTGGATGTGTTTGTATTATGTACAATAACTGTTTACAAGGTCACTGAACTGCCTGGCCTTGACATTTTGCTCGCCATGGTATTCATTGAGTACTATGTGGAACAGTTTAAAGGATTAAGCTGTTGTGTTCCCTTGGGGCAGTCTGTCCATCCGTCTGGTTTGCTGAGTGTTTTTTTTTCTTTTCTTTTCTGCATTAATATGTGCTGCTGTTTGGCAGGTTAATGGAGCGCAACACCAAACACCATGGTGTGTCCTACAGTCTGACCTTATTTAGCAATGAGTTTTTGTTTGCGGGTGTTGTGCAGATAGAATGTTTGAATCGCTAGCGACTTCTATACCAGCAGTATGAGCCTGTTTGTTTAGTAGAATGACTGCAGTGTGTATTTGGGAATATATGAAATGATTGCATCATGAGTTGAACTGACATTTTCTTTATGGAGTAGTAAAAACAGTTTTGTTATCTCCCAGAATGTTTACGTCTGGTGATGTTTTTGGCACCAAGTCATGAACTTACAGCGGGGCCAATAACGGAGTGATTTGCGAGGAGTCAGTCAATGATATTTTCACCATCACTGAACTGGGGAGGAGTGTTTTTATCTGTGCCTGCATTTCTGTATATCATGTCAAACATTTACATCTCATTGAATTTCAAATGCTGTCAGGAATAGTAATGAAGCCTGGCTCCCACTGTTATGGTAATTTGGGCTGGGAGGAGGGGGGGTTACATGGTGTCTCCCCAAAATCCTCTCCATGACATTTTAATGTTTGCCTTTATGCTTTGTATGTATAAAAAAAAAATATGTGTCTGTTTACATTGCAAATATTCATAAGTATATCATCATTAAGCCCATGTGTATTTATTTTAGCTATTTAAATTAGATAAAAATGTACATCCATGTTTATGCACATCGATATTTCATAGACTTTGAATGTCAATTGAGCTCCATGTATCTTTTATGCTTATTTATATTTGCCGTACATCATAACAGAATTGCTTAGCATAAATAGATGTTTTTATTTTCAGCAGACTCTCAGTTTTCCAGCAATGGCAGAAACACAGTTGGCTCCTATCGAAGCGTTGTTACCACTTGAACTAATCAATAGGAATTATCTGTGTGATCTTTGAAGGATGATGAATATCAAACCTCTTATGGTGATCAGCATCTGGATGAACATGGAGTCCAACAGGAGGAGGCCCCCGAGGAGGATGAGGTTGGGGGAGAAGAGCAGCAGGAAGAGGAGGAGGAAGAGGCAGCTGAGGGCTCTCAGGTCTTTGACACAGAGGAGGTACCCCCCATACAACACCTTACACTATTTTTTGTTATGGATTAATTGCATTATATATTTATTTATTTTTTTCAAATCTGCTTTTGACGCACATTATCATTTTTTTCAACTATTTATCATAGCTCAGTTTATGAACATGAGTTTGTAGTTGCATTCAAAGCAGTGTAGTTTCATGTAATTTGGTAGGTTTTAAAAAAATAATTTTTATTTATGCAGAAGGTTTGAAGAAGCAATTATTTTCACTATGGCTTAAACTGCGATTTCTCCCCATTTATCAGTTAATTATTTGGTCTATAAAATTCCAGAGAAGTCCGTCACAATTTCCTAAAACTCAAGATGTCATTTTTAAAATGTCTTGTGTCTTACTCACAGTGCAAAACCAAAAGATATTTGTTTAATGTCATGGAAGACTTAAGAAAGCCAGCAAACAATATTCTCATTGTGCCTATTGTAAAAATGGTGAAGGGTTTGTGTTAGAATGTTTGTTTTTATCCTCTGAAAATGTCCGTAGGTTGAAACTGAGGCTGTACCTGAGGAAGAAACAAAGGAGGAATCTGATGAGGAGGATGAGGAAGATGAAGAGTCTGGTCGCATACGGTTCAAATCTGAGAGAAAAGATGGCGCTGTGGTCCGGTTGGCTGACGCAGGGAGTAAAAGGAGAAATATCCCCGAAACACTAGGTACAAATGATTGTTGCTGGGCATGATTCATCCTTCATTCAGTCTTCTGTACTTTGAAAGGTTTACATTATCTGTATTTTATCCCAATTTTCAAGTTTTTTAAAGTGCTTTATTGTCATGCTCTATCTATCATTAGAACTGTCCGAAAAGGCCAAGCAAGATCTGATGGAGTTTGAGGAACAAGAACGGCAAAAGAGACAAAACCGTTATGGAGGCAGAGGCAGAGGAGGAGGAGGAGGACGTGGGGGCAGAGGAAGGGGATGCTTCCCACCTTTTGGAATGGTAGATTTTAGAGGAGGAAACAGAGGAAGAATGAATGACCAGAGGATCCCCCTGATGGGAAACATGGGCATGCAGGTAAGCCATTGTACAGTCATCCACCTGAACAACTTTAAAGGGATCATCCATTTGGCTACATCGAGTAACGCATCACTCAGTACTGAACCACTCCTCTTGAACAGTAGCTAAAGGGAGCACAAGGGCTTCACTGGATAAGATGATTTGAAATGCCTTGACTTTTTTACCTTCTTTTATTTGTCACAGTTACAACATGTGTTTTGTTCACTGCTCTCTTTACTATCCAAGACCTCCAAAGCTATGGTCGTTTTACGCATGAAAAGAGTCAAAACACTTTGCTCCCTCGTATCAGTGTTGATATATGGATTATAGCAAATCATTTGGCAGTAGTCCATTTAGACAGTATTATACAAAATTAAATTTGTTCTTTCCCTCGGATTTAGTTTCTTGTGAGCTTTTATTATTAGATATCACTCCAAGCATTTAATCCTTTGATTTACATGGCTTGTTGGTTCATACAACATCTTTTGAAGGTCTAGGGGAAAAAGTCACTTCAAACATACAACCTAAATCAAAAGAACTAGTGGTGATCATCTTCAGTAACACAGTGAAAGGTTATCGGATTTTCGGAACTGGGCCAGGACTAGTCTGTACTATAATCACTTCTAATCAGGATGTTAAAGAGAACCACATTTTTTACGTTATTGATTTGATCGCTGAATTTTTACCAGGGCTACATTGTGTAAAAGTACACAAAAACAAAAGAAAATGCTAAACTACTAACAGACCACTGTGTTAAAGTAACAGTTCACTCCAGCTCTCCATTGTGTTTTTTATTGTTTTAAAGATAATAGGCCGTAAAACTCAAAACAGTAAAAATGAAAATTTAATGACAGATGGATGACACGCCAACAACACAAACATTCTGGTGACTGCTGTTAATGAGCTCTTACTTTTACATACTGTATGTTTAACTACTTGACTAATTTGGTCACTGACATGTTTGTTTGTTTGTTTGTTTGTTTGTTTGTTTGGTAGCTTTAACAGATAGACTGGCCAATTATCAAGGACCCATTTGAAAGATGACATAACGATATAATTATTGTTTATTTATCAGTTGGTACATCTCTAGTTGATATATTCCAACGATAGCAGACAGCTGACTGTTGCTGTTGGTCTTTGTTTTTTATTGTCTCAGTTTACAGTTTTGTCACTTAATACAAGTTGTAAAAAAACCACGTACTTTTAATCTTCAGGTGAGCTTTGCATTAAAATACTTGAGGATACCATCTTCAATCTTGCTGGTGAATTAACTTGTTTGTGTGTCATCGCATGGCTGCAAGCAGTAATATCAGAATCTTCCCAGAAAGGAATGTGTTTTGACAGGTTGTTTTGATTTTTCCCTCTTCTCCGTTTCCCCATCTCTTTCCAATTAGCAGCCATCCTCCCGAATGCCTCCTCCTCATCAACTTCATCAGCAGCAACTGCAGTCCCAGCAGCACCACCCTTCGCGTCCAAGAGGACCTCCTCCCTTCCAAGAGCATGGGCGCCCGCTGGCCCAGCAGCCCCTTCAGCCCCTCATCCCCCCGCACATGGCTCACCGCTCCCCGCCGTTGCGGCCGCAGATGGAGCCACCACCACGAATGATGAGCTCCCCGCCACCCAACTTCCCCCAGCATCACCAACAGCAGCCTCCACAGCCCAAAAACATCCACATTAACCCCCATTTCAGAGGGCCCACATCATCCTCTGTACAGGGTAGGTTAATCCACAGTCACTCAAGTGCTTTTTATTAGACTTTTTAAATTCAACCTCTGTGGCTTTAAAATAATTTACCCTAGTTTGCAGTGTTTTTCTAGCTTTACCACAGTTATTTTGCAAAATAATTTATAAATGACAACAGTTCTGCCACCTATGCATCAGCAAGGAGATATGTTGCATCAAACTAAGCTTTTCTAATTATACACGAGTTGCTTCAATAAATAACTACACTGAGGAACTGTGTAAAGGAAATATGACATAAGAGACCATAAAATTGTGCTTGTACCAACTAAAGAGTCCAAAATTAACCTTTTGGCTCATCTGTCACAGTGATGAAATTATTTCTCAAAGATTAACAATTAAGTATTATGAAAATAATAATTTTAATTTTACCCAATATTGTTTACTAGCAAGATGCTCTATTGAGGTGCATGATGCCATTATAGCTTGCAGTTATCATCACACTGTCCTGAAAGGTGTCTGGATTAGAATGTCGTTTTGTTGTTCGGTTGAATGACAAGTGAATAGCTCTCTCAGCCAGTAATGGGTTTATCCTCCATTTTTCTTCTGGCGGCATCACCATTTCATTCCCTGAGATGGGTTTATCTGGCCTGTCTGTCCAGGCCAAGATTGAAATTTTGTTAGCAAAGCATGTTAGTGTTGTGTGCATGTGTGTATGCATCACTGTGTGCAAGTACGCATGGGGTTTTCGTTTTGCTCCTGAGAGGAAGACGTGTTCTGGAAAATCAGGGATTGCCTGTGGTTATGATTAAGGGTGTGTGTTTGTGTGTTTGTATATATGTCTATGTATATTTATTTTAGATTTCGTTTGAATGTTTTCCAGTTGTAGATGTTGACATACAATTACAGTTCCCCTTGTTTTGAAGCAGCATGCCAAAAATATGAAAATCCAGTTTATTGAATCATATTGTGCCAATATTTTGTCAAACAGCAAATGTCTTATTCATTTTTTATTTGTTGAATTTGGCAAATTATTCTCCTATATATTTAAAAAAAAAAAAAATGTGCACCCTGATCCATGCCCAACTGTCTAAAAATGTGTGGAGCAACACTGATATAAAATTTAACATGTATGTCTCAACCTTTAGCATGGAAATGTCTAATGGGCTCCTCCCTTTCTACTATCACCATCCCCTCTCTGCCTACTGCCCCTCATTTTCATTTTTCTCCCCCTCCACCCCCCTTTCTCCTGTTCTCTCTCTCCCCCTCTCTATCTCATTGCAGTGCCCTTGATGCCTCCTGCTCAGAGCCAGCCCAGACCTGCTGTGGGTCCTCAGAGGTTCCCTGTGAGTAGCAGCTGCTCCTCTCCCTCCCTTTCGCCTCGCTTTCTCTCCCTCTCCACTCGGTTAGCGTCCCTTTTTTGTGAGGGCAATATCATTATGGCAATTAGACCGCATGGCCTGGCCAAATACTGTTAAAGCAAATCTGTAAACACTGATACGAGTCTGGCTGCACAACTGGAAATGCGTGATAGGGGCTTTAGGCAGTAGACTTTTGGAGGTCGGGGCTGCAGTGGCGGGACTTACTTAGCAACTCTTCATGGATGGGCTGGGGCTCAGACTAGCCAGCTTGGCACATAATGGAATTGTGAAACCAGGATATACTGCCAGTTAAAATTCACTTTCCACAAGTTTGTGTCCCAAAGGCAGGAAGACCTTTTTTGAACGGTATTTGAATTAATGAAACATGGTGGTGGTTTGATGGGGCTGGAGTGAGCCTCTTGCAACATATATTCAGAAGGCCGAATTTCACGTCAGAGAAAAGGAGTCTTAAGTCAGTGATTTCCTGTAAGAAAAGGTCCTTTCTTTTACTCACAAAGAACCCATCCAAGAGATGACGGAAATGCTTTTAAAGTAGTTACTGTATTAAGGGAAATGGCTCGCTAGCAAGTCAGCCAAAGTGCCTTAAGTTACGCTATGCTTCTAGTTAATGATGCCCAGGCATCAGGTGGTGCTGGTACTGACTGACATCTTCCTGGAAAGTGCATTTTGTATGGATTTATGCAAATGGGCCATTGGAAAATAGCTGCATCCAATTGCATTCATGTGGATTTCCAACCCTGCTGCCAAATGAGCCAGGCTTTGACATAGGAGTCAATCTTTGTCAAAAAAACTGTTTTTATTTACCTCTTTTTCCAACCTTCAACGTCCATATCGTGCAGTTCCTGTTCCCTGAGGTCTGTGATTGTGCTAGATATCGATAGCACTGTAGCAGGAAGCTGTTTTGCCTCTTATCAGACAGTAGAAGGTGGGGTTGGAAGGGTATGCAGACAACTGGGCTGATGAACAGCATAGTGTTGGATTCCCCAGCTGTCAATCCCGTTTAGGCTGCTGTTGCCAAGGACACAATTTGAAATGCAGGTGACATACCAGCCGGCAACATTCCATTTACCAGTGGGCACCTGATTACTCATGATTATCATACATTATCATCCCATCAAATTTAATTGTTAAAAGACCTGGTGAATGGGGGGTCATAGCCTCTAGTATTACTGCATTAAATTTTTGCTGGTGGAGACTGGTTTTGAAATATTAATCTCGGTGCCAATTAATGTTATTAGAATATTTTATCCGTTTAGATAATGACATTCAGTTTGACCAGGAAATAAAGATGCCACCAGCCATACTATTTGGAAATGTGGTCAGTAAAGCTGTAGTTTCTGGTAGTCAATACCTTTTTGAAATCCTTTTTATTTATTGCATTTTCATAATTAAATTTTTCCTTGGTGTCAATTGGTAGCAATCAGCTCCTTAGCTCTCTTGTGAACAATACCCATATCCCCAAAACAAAGAATAAGCTTCAATGCCTCCAGACTGTATTGGTATAAGCTGCAAGAAGTTAACATGAAACCTGAAACAAAACATCTCTTTATACTAAAACTTCCACTCTTTATTAAATTCTTTGACATTTGGCCTCTCTCCATTATATATGTCTTGGTTATCCCCTCACTGCTGAGAACTATCCTCGCATCAGTTACATATTGAGCAGCCTGCAGCCTGTTTATCAAGGATTAAAAGGGAGAGGATGAGCTGTTATTTGAGAGGTATTATATGGACACCAGAGTCCTCATTGTGCAAACCTGCCTGCCTGACCTTTTTTAGAACAGTATGATTGCGCCCCCATTGTGATCCCCTGTCTCTGTAAGCCCCTTTGATTAACTTTCTGTTAAGCAAGTTTTTGGGACTCTGGCCTTCTAGCTTTCTAACACCTCTCCTCTCTAAATACCGCCACGCAGCAGTGGAATAAAGATGGATTAAGCCTTGATAGCATCTTAAGTAATTTACAATAGGCTTGGAGGAGGCAAGAAGCCCATTTGTGGAAGTGCCACATGTTGAATAGCAGGTTAATTTTTCAACAGAGATGGATGTTTAAAAGAATAAAGGAGACAGTTATGAGGGGGATTCGAATTCCAAGGAGGGATTAAAGGGTTGTTATCTAGTTTTCCTTGGAAGTTAGATGGGGAGTAACGTGCATGCAATGAGTAGAAAGCTGTCGAACAAACGCAGTGGTTGAAACAAAGGTGAGGGCACTTATCCCCTCCTGAAATACCCTTTCCTTGTTAGAGACAGGCTTTTAGACGCTTTATCAACAAAGCCCCAAGTAGCATTAATGCAGGTTTGCTCACAAATTCAGGCTGAAGGGTTTCTTGAATATTGGCATGTATATTGATGTTTACAACTCAAGATTCTGCGTCTTTTTAATGACTCTTGTCCTTCAATTACAAGTGCTCCATGCCCAATGCAATACTCCACAACAAATTCCCATTTTTCATTACTTTAATTTGTTTGTGATTATTGAGTTCCCAGTATGGCCTATAATTCATGAGTTTTGTGTTTTCCCAGGGACCGGGAGACTTCCAGCAGCACATGTCTGGTAATTTTGGTCAGCCCCAGCGGCCCCCTCATCACATGGAGCCCTTTAGGAACCAGCCACCTCAAGGCCCCCAAGACAGAGAGCCCCTCTTTATGGGCGGTGAGTCCTACACCCAGGCTTCACGAGGGTTACAAAGCTCTCTTAGCATATTTAATCCTATTCGACATCACCTCTGGCAGTATACCTACAGGGTATGCTGCTAGGTTTCTGGTGCTGCTCTATTAGCAGAACTCATGTTAAATGCATGTGTGTATATATATACATCTGAATGAGCCTTGGAAACTGCATTAAACAGCTATGTTTTTGATTTTGCATTCACAGCATTAATGCAGAATTGAGTACAACCCACTTGGTTGTTTACCCTTTTACCTTGATAGAGTTGTCTGTTTTTGTTTCCCTTGCCATAATAATATACATCTAGAGAGGGAGTTACTGATGTATTGAAATTGTCTCATAAGGCAAAACAAAACTGACATCTCTGTTGTGGTGCTGTTGTTGTTGTTTGGTCTTTCTCATGTGGGCACAGAGCGCACAGAGTCAACACGGTTTCCAGGGCAACACATGTTTGATCACCAGGGCCCCAGCCCTCTGATGAACAACAGCCACAACATCCACCACCACCAGCAGCAGCTGCCCGGCCAGGGCCACATGGGTTTCGGCCCACCAGGACCGGCCTTCAACCAGCCGGGCCAGGGTCCGCTAGGACTTTTTCCAAGAGAACCCCCAAGACCCAACCTCCCCCCTCACCAAGGTCACCAGGGGATGATCGGCTTGAATCAACAAGGCGGCCCCCCCAATCAGCCTAGACCGTTTATGGGCCCTCGTCAGCCGTTTGGCCAGCAGGGGAACCTTTTCCCCCCTCCACAAGTTCAATTTGGGATGCAGGTACGACTAAGAGTAAGTGATTTTTTTATCCAATAGATGTCTGTATTTGTGTCTGTATGTTGTCTGTATGCAATTATTTGCTGTTTCCCTAGTTCTTCCCTAATGTTAGATGTGCCTGCTCAATATGGTAATATGATCTGAGTATCATGATGTTTTTTTAGCATCCTGTCTTACCTGTGACAATTCTTGTAAAGGAGCCTGAAAAACAATTCACATGCTCTCTCATCTCTGCCATGAATGTATGAATTTTTGTCTGCTTTGCTCTAGATTATTAAAACTGTTGTGGCAAGAGCAATGACTAGACTAGAGTACTGTACACATGAATAAACTAGAATAGTTATCATATTCACTGCTACTGAAGCGTTAAGGGAATAGACTCATGTCTGTTTGGCACCTCAGCATTTTGTTAAGAGACATAGACAAGAGCTCCCTCTAGTGATTGAATCAGTATTGTTGTACTATGTAGACACTTCAGGACACTAGTTAGAGGTTAATTTATATGCCTAATAATATAAAAATGCCTCATTCAGTGTTGAGATTAGAGTTAATAAGAAGTGATACTATCGCAGTTTTAAAAAATGAAATAAAGATATGAATATGTAACAATAAGTTCAGATTTTGCTGGTTTACTGGTGTTGTGGTTTGTCTTCTTTTCCTCATATTTCAGGGCTTAATGCACGGCCCTCCCGTCTCACAGCTTCCGCACCAAGACTCCATGCCACCCCATCAGCCTATGCACCAGCACCAGCAACATCATAGGCAGGACTTAGCCCATCATCAGCAACAGCAGCAGCTAAATGTCAATGAGCCTCGCCCCATGATGCACCATGGCCAGAATCCCTTCCACCAACAACAGGCGCATGGTAGCCCCAGGCAGATGACTCCCCGCCCTCAGAACCCCCAACAGCGAAACATGTCCAACAGGCAGAGGATGGTGAGAGATTAACATATTAGCTCAACTTTTTTCTACTGAAATTGATGAAGGCAGTAAAATGGGGTCCATATTTTATCACTGTCTCACTCTTAATTACTGTAACTAAAGGTATATATTAAGATCAGATTGATTGTAAACATTGATTGTAAGTTTATACTTTTCCATTTCTCTAGAACACACCTCTCTCCAAGCAAATGCCGCAACGCAACAGCAACCTACGGGAGCTCCCTGTAGCACCTGGCAACACAAACATGAACAGTGCCCGCCCCGCTGCCAACGTTAGGCCTGTTGCCAAGGCAACGCAGGGGGTGCGTCCCGGGCAGAACACTCAGCCGGTGCCTATCGGTGGAAGAGGAAGAGGCCAAGTTGCTGCCAAGACTGAATCACAGCCTGGGGGAGAAGGCAGGACAGTGGTTTGCAAGGAAATCCCAAGCACGCCGTCCAGCACGGCACCACAGGTCAGCTTGTTAACAGTCATGAAAAACAAAAGTGATGGACAAACATTCAGTTAGCTGGCATAATGGACAAATGAATTCAGATAAATATGTATTATATTTTTCAGATATTCTGAAATGGTCCTGTGTTTGTATTTTTTCTCTTCTGCTAAATTCACTGACCCATAAATTGTAAGCTCAGGCAGGCTCATTAATGTGCTGAGAAGGACTCCTATTTATTAAAAGCCCAATCATAAGCTTGTTAATGTCAGCAGTCTCATTCCATTGGAAAGAACAGATCAATACTATTGCACTTTTCGCTTGGGTTTTGCCTTTGATTACATTGGAGTGTCAGGCCGAGTAATATGGTTCACATAGGACACAGTGACTACTGGCTCCACTTCCAGTAAATGGAAACAGGCAGTCATATTGTCAGTTTGTGTTTTTTTTTTTCCCAACAGAACCCTGATGAGGATGAGGAGACACGGCAGTACCGTCTGAAGATTGAGGAGCAGAAGCGTCTGAGAGAGGAGATCCTGAAGAGAAAGGAGATGCGACGGCAGATGCAGGCTGGTGTCAGAAAGAAGGAGCTGCTGGACAGGCTCAATTCCCAGACAAACACTCCAAGCCAAAGCCCAGTTCCTCCACAGATTCAACCCTCACACCAAAATCAGCAAACGCTGCACCCTGTACAACAACAACAACAACAACCACCACCACTACCACCACCACAACCCCAGCAGCAGCCGGAACAAAAACAACAGCCGCAACAACACATACAGCCACAACAGCAGAGACAATTCCCTCAGAGAACACCACAATCATTAAATCAATCATTAAAGAATCCTAATCAGGGCACCCCCATCCCTCCCAACGGCAGCGCTCAGACCCCTACACCCCGTCCCAATGTCAAGACACGCCTGCAGATGGTAAAAGGTAGCACCCAGCAGCAACAGACTCCCGGGCCTGGTCCAGACCAGCAATGGAAACAACCCCAACAAAATCAGCCGCAGCTGCTACAACAGCGAAGGAACAGTGCTGTGCAGAATGTAAACAGACCTGGTGCTCAGATCCAGTCCAATCAGGTCCCCCAAAAGAATATACCTGTAACTCCCTCTGTGGGCCCTGGCCAGGCTCAGGCTCAGACTCAAGGACTTAAACCTGGGACGAAAAGAACTGTGATGCAGCGGGCCAAGAATTCTGGTGTGGATGGCCAGCAGGTGCCTCAAAAAGTCAGAGTCGTCAAACTTTCAGGAGCGGTGAGCACGCAATTTCATTTTTATCCAACACCTTCTTTTGTGTTTTGGTCCGACATTTATTTGATCCTCTTCAACAGATTTTGCCCACAAGGGAAACGACAGTTTTGAAATGAAATGCCACTGATTGCCCTCACACTGTCTATTTTATAATCTAAAAGATATCTAACCTATGGGAATGACAAGGTGATGTCTGTGTCATTTTGGCACAATTGATCTGTTAAGAGTTTCCTCTTAAGCTTTGGGAACTGGTATTTAAGCCACAATGCCTCTACGCACATTTTACCTTTAGAACACAGAAAGGCATTAAAGAGAGCAGTATGACATTTATGTGTAGAGTTGGGGACACCTCATCACTACTCTTAAAGGTTGATATCCTCTTTTTAAGGGCAGAAGAGTATTCTTTTAAAGATAGAGGCCTTTCAGAGGGTAAAACAAGAATGACAGTAACACCAACAAAGTCCAGAATTACCACTGCTGGCTATTTTACTACTCACTTAAGTTACTGCTGTGGCCTTAATTACACATTAATCTTTATTGAAAAACCACAAAGGCATGCATGTTAAACATTCATACTTGTCACTGATGAGACATGTTGGTGGGATGTGATAGTATTTGAAATAAGCCGCTTTCCGACTCCATCCCAGAGGATCAAGCCGCAGAGCCAAAATCGCAGGCTGGCTGCAGATGAAGATAACTGGGTGTCAGTGCGTTAATGGAAACCTGCGCAGAACTATCAGATGTACCGCATCTTGGAGAAAAAAAAAAAGAGAGTGGGATGTGAGGTGGAGAAAGAGAGATGGAAACAGAAAGAAACAGCTAAGGCCTATAGGCGTGCTGAAAGAAGATTGTCTAGATGCTCCCTCTTCCACATTGTTCTGCTGTCATCAACGGGCGCTTGACAATGTTATCTCCTCTCCTCTCTTTTTCCGTTCTCTCTCTCTCTTCCTCTCTGGTTGCTTTTTTTGCCATCAACCCATCTCTCAGGTGCGAGGCAACAAAAGAATGCCAATCCAAGACCCTTGTAATTAATCTTTCTTGGTTGAAC